GCAGGGGGCGGGGTGGCAGGAAAAAGGCTGAGGGGGAGCTGGGAGACCACATCTTCCCCTCTTCCCCCCAGGCCTGGGTGTGATCAGCATTGAGCGCGCCTACCCCCTCACGCTGGGCTCCAACATCGGCACCACCACCACAGCCATCCTGGCTGCCCTGGCCAGCCCCCGGGAGAAGCTGTCCAGTGCCTTCCAGGTGTGCCTGGGAGAGCAGCCCTGCCAGAGAGAGGACCGTGCTGGCCCTGGGGTGTGGCGCTGACCCATGGGGGGACGCTGAGTAACAAGCTGACTGCTAACTAGGCCAGCGGCTCTGCCAGCCTCTGCGGCAACCATGTGGGCAAAATAGAGCTGGTGCCGCCCTCAGGACCTTGCTGTCTACCAGGAAGATGTGACTCAGTCACACCAATGAACAGGGGTGGGGTGTGCACTCTGAGGGCGGGCTGCTGTGAGAGGGGGCCTGGCCAGTCTGGGGGATCAAGGATGAGTAGGGGGACTCGGCAGAGCAGTGGCTGATCTAGGAGAAGTAGTAACGACAAGCAGGGCCTCAGGTCAGGGTGGGGACCCATCAGGAGGCCAGAACTGCTGAGGCAGAAACTAGGAGAAATCATTTAGCTCCTGGATTTGGGCAGCATCTGCTGGGGAATTCCTAGAAGTGGGGTTTGAGGGGGAGATGTGGGGAGTTCAGGGCAGGATTATTTGCCAACTGGCCCAGAAGTGTTTCAGTGTTTTACTGGGGGCACATCAACCCTAGTGTGACTTTCCTGCTGCCCAGACCAGGCCGGGCCCCTGTATCTGTTCCCACGGTCCTGGCTTGGGAGTGGGCCTGTGCCCACCTCAGCTCCTTTGCCCTCTTCTCTGCAGATCGCCCTCTGCCACTTCTTCTTCAACATCTCAGGCATCCTGCTGTGGTACCCGGTGCCCTGCACCCGCCTGCCCATCCGCATGGCCAAGGCCCTAGGCAAATGCACCGCCAAGTACCGCTGGTTTGCCGTCCTCTACCTCCTGCTGTGCTTTGTCTTGATGCCCTCGCTGGTATTTGGCATCTCCATGGCAGGCGGGTGGGCCATGGTGGGTGTGGGTGCACCCTTTGCGGCCCTGCTGGCCTTCGTGGTGCTCGTTAGAGTCCTGCAGAGTCGCAGCCCCAGGCACCTGCCCAAGTGGCTGCAGACATGGGACTTCCTGCCCCGGTGGATGCACTCCCTACAGCCCCTGGACCGCCTCATCACCCGCGCCACCCTGTGCTGTGCCAGGCCCGAGCCCCGCTCACCCCCACTGCCCCCCAGGGTCTTCCTGGAGGAGCTGCCCCCTGCCACACCCTCTCCCCGCCTTGCCCTGCCTGCTCACCACAATGCCACCCGCCTCTAGGCTTCTGCCCAGACTGCCACCTGGGGCAGGGAAGGGCCTGTGCCTGGTGCCCGGGTGGGAGGGCAGAGGGGTGTGTCTGTGCACATGCTCCTGCCCTTGAGCAGGCCCTCAGAGGTCTGGGCTGTGTGACTGGGTTGCTGTGTGAGCCTGTGCCAGCCTGCACGTGTGTCCATCATGGTGCGCCTGTGGCTCTCTGCAGGCTGCAGGGCACCTGCGATGACTTCCAGCCCTTTGCACATTGTTTGGAGGCTGGTGCTTGTGTACTTGTGTCCACACAACTCCAACGGGGCTGGGTGGGAATGAGGGTGGGTCTGAGTACCTGACTCCCAGCTGTTTGCTCATGCAGAGATGTCACTGGCTGAGTTCTCACCCTCTCCCTTCCACTTCCCTTCCTCCATGCCATTCTCCTCCTCACCCAGCTTTCTGCATCACTGCTACAACCCCCTTTCCCAACACTGCCTGATTTTAAAAAAGAAAAAAGGAATTAAACTTTCATTATGCATTTGAAAATCTGTTTGTTCTCATTTGGGGGGAGGAGAGACCATAGCTAGGGGTTCAGCAGCACTATCTCCCGTCCCAAGACAGCCTGCTGTGCCCTGGGAGAGCCAGCCGACAAGCTCACCCCAACCATTTCCTGGCTCTGCCTTAATGAGTCCAATCCACAGCCCAGACTCCCTGAAAGTCCCCAAGGTCAAGGCCAATGTTAGCAGGGCTCTCTGCACCTCCATCCCCCAGCCCACCAGGCTGACCTCTGGTTTCTCCTTGTCTCTGGACTCACCTACCTCACTGACTCCCTCCCTCCCTCCCTCTTTCTGGCATGAGATCAATTCTCCCCAAAGCAAGTGACATGTGGGGTTTATGGGGACCACTGTGAGAGGGGACCAGGAGGTTCAAAGTGCACAGGACAAGCCAGGATACAGGGGGGCAGGAACCAGCCACCCTCCCTCCTCCTACCCTTGTCCATCTTTGACAATAAGCCATGTCTCATTTAAACCCACTCAAGTTTTCAATTCCTCTTCCTCTGTAGCCTCCCCCCCCCCCCCGACTCCAGCTGAGGCCTGCAGGGGAGGGTGCAGGGGTGGGAGGTGCCAACGTTCCTGCCTCCAGTCCAGGGTATCTGTGGAGCCTTTGGACCCCAAGGGGACTGGAGGCTGTAGGGCCCAGACCTGGCTGTGATGATCTTGGACACAGTCCTCCACCCACCCTCTTGGAGGCATGTGGGGAAGATGCAAGAGACTGGGAGCCCCAGAGATGCTCCCCAAGCTACCAGCCACACCTGTCACCTGTTCACAGCCCCTGCTAGTGCTCCCTCTCGCCAAGTGGAAGAGGTGAGAAGCGCACTGAGGTGCAGCCTGGGGAGGGGTGTAGGAAGGTGGGGAGGAGACTCCCTTAGGGTTCATCCTGCACGGCTGTGGGGACAGTTTTGTGGGAAAGGATGCTCAGGTCTGAGCTAGAGAGTTTGAGAAGGCTGCTCCCTGGGCCTCTTGCGCAGCTTCGGTGTCCCTAGGGCCCTGGGAAGTCTTCGAGGCCCACGCCCCTGACTCTGGCCTGGGGAGTCAGGTCAGAAGCCTCTGCAGGGCACCCAATGGGAGGGCACCCAATGGGAGTCATAATCCCAACTCCACCAGGTGACCTTTCTGCAAGGACCTTCCAGGAAACCGGTGTCCTCCTCAGCAACAACTCCCGCCCCCCCCACCTCCACCCCACCCCACCCCACCCTCACCCCCACCCCCTGCAACCAGAGGATGAGTCCGCCATTCCCAGGTCTGAGTTTATTTTGTCTCCGCGGCCACCTGGCTGTTCTGCTAGGTGCCCTGAGTGCGCAGCCAGTGGATCAGCTCGTGCACCTTCTTGTTGAGGATGCCCCCGTGCACGCCCCGCCGGCCCATGAGCACCAGAAGCGCGCGCGGCGTGTAGCCCACGCAGACCGCGCGCCCATCCAGCCCCTTGGTGCGCGCGTCCAGCACGCCGTCGCCCTCCGCCAGCAGGTGGTCTCTGATGACGCAGCAGCGGCGGCCCGCCACGCTCAGGCCGGCCTGCAGGAAGGTGCACCGGTCCTGCCCCGTAAGCACACCCACCTCCTGCGGCGAGATGGCGGCCAGCAGTCCCCCGGGCCGCGATGCCCACACACAGCGATTGTCCGAGTGGCCCACGATGGCTACGTCGTCGATGCGCTGGTCCTGCAGCACCGCACTGATGTAGGCTTTCCACTCGCCCATTCTGACTCAGCGTTGGTCCCTCGCCTAGCACGTCGGAGGGTTGCCAGGCTGCTCCGGCCTAAAATGCTGGGGGCACTGTGACGGATGCGAGGGCGGGGTTATGACGCTGAGGCTGTCGGTGGAGAATGGGGGCGGGGTTGGACCTGTCACCTGGTGAAGTTCACATTTAGCCTGAAGGAGGAGGTTGCATGAGAGTCGAAATAATCCTTGAAAACCAATTTAGATGGTCCATCAAGCACAGTGCACATGGGTTTAAAAACAAAAAGGTGCGCCCGCAGGCGTGCCTCAGTGCTCCAGCGTTGACCTATGAACCAGGAGGTCAGGGTTTGATTCCTGGTCAGGGTACATGCCCCGGTTGTGGGCTCCATCCCCAGTAGGGGGCATTCAGGAGGCAGCGGATCAGTGATTCCCTCTCATCATTGATGTTTCTATCTTTCTCTCCCTCTCCCTCTCTGAAATCAATAAAAATATATATATTTTTTTTAAAAATGCCACATCAGCCCTGGCCGGTTTCGCTCAATGGATAGAGCGTCAGCCTGCGGACTGAAGGGTCCCGGGTTTGATTCCAGTCAAGGGCATGTACCTTGGTTGGGGGCACATCCCCAGTGCGGGGTGTGCAGGAGGCAGCTGATCGATGTTTCTGATTCTCTATCCCTCTCCCTTCCTCTCTGTAAAAAAAATCAATAAAATATTTTAAAAAATAAAATAAAAAGATGCCACGTCTGGACAGTGGGGCCTCTCTTCCTGGTCCCCAGAACATGGTTTTCTAATGTCAGGCGCTGTGATACAAACCCTGGGCCCCGACTCAGAGTTTCTGATTCAGTAGTATGGTGTGTACCCTGAAAGTGTGCATTTCTACAAATTCCCTGGCACCGCCGCTGCTGCTGCTGGTCCCAGGTTCGCACTCGGAGACCCACTGCCCTAGCAGCTGGGGGGAAGTGAGGGACCCCACTCTGGTCGCCAGCCCTAAGGCTCCACACCAGTTTTCAGGTTAAGCATTTCTAACCACGGTTCCCAACCCCGCCGGAACATGTCATCACCGGGGAACTTTTAAAACGTACCACTGCCCATGCCCCATCCCTAGAGACATGGGATTTAATTGCTCTGAGGTGGATCTCGGGCATAGGTTCTGACGTGCAGTCGAGGTTGAGAATTTCTCTGGAAATTTAAAATATTAGTGTTTCATACGAGGAATAACATGTGGAGCCACGCTGCACAGGGCTCAGTACACCGGCTCAGTAAACGTCAGCTGGACAAGAATCTAAATCTCGCATAAGACCTCAATAGACCCTGTTCTCTAGGCCGGTGGAGAAGCTGCGCTTACTGGCTTACTGTCTCGGCATTTCCCAGCGGGACCCCCGAAGAGCTGTGCCTCTCAAGCATTTCCAAAGCACTTTATTGAGTGTTTACCCCGTGCCTGGGGCCGGACTGACGGACTGACGGCGCTGGAACACACCCTTGCGGTCCAGGATCGGGCCCAGCCATCCTCCCATTCCAGAACCACCGAGGAGGAGAAGAGGAGTTCCTGGGCGGTCAGGAAGCCATGTGCTCACGGATCCAAGTCAGGTAGTTGGCCACATCGGTGTACACACCCGGCTTGTTACGGTCGCCACAGCCCGAGCCCCAGCTGATGATGCCTCGCAGGGTGAGCCCTCTGTCCTCATCCTCACACACCAACGGACCCCCGGAGTCACCCTGGGTGGAGATACACGGCTCAGCGTCCTTGGCCTGGGGTCTGCATGGGACCGGGTGGGGGTAGGGCGCGAAGCGGGCCCGAAGGCTCACCTGGCACGCGTCGGTGCCCCCGTCGGGATAACCAGCGCAGAGCATGCCGGGGTAGAAGGCGTTGCCGTGCATCTCAGGATTCGAGCAGTCCTTGTGAGGGATCAGGGGCACCTGCGCCTCCTGCAGAAAGCTGGCATATTCCTCCGCCCCTGGGAACCAAGGAAGTGTTCACCCCACCACTCCCGACTCGGCTCCCCGCCTGCGCCAGGCTCTTCCAGATCCACTGATCACCTGCCTCCCTCGCAAGGGGCCCGGGAGGGAGGCAGCTGCCGGTAACACCTTTCACGGACCAGAAAACAGGCCCGAGGGTAGCGGGATGCGAATGGGCGAATGGGCGGGGCGGAGCAGGCCTTCCCCTTCCCAGCCAGCATCTCAGAACCTCAACTACCCACCCTGTTCGAGCGCAGGCCCGTGTCCTAGTTAGCCGTGCAGCCCGGTGCCCAGTGGGACCCAAGAGGAAGTGTGATGCTCCCTGTACTCCTCGGGAGCTTGGGGGCCCCCAACAGTGGATCCCAGGCCCGGGGAGGGGTGGCTGCAGAGACAGGGCCCTGCACGTCCTCACAGCCCAGCAGGTCAGCGCCTCCCGTCCCTGGTGATGTCAAAGCTGCGGGCTTGTCTTGCCCACCCCGGTGCCAGAGGTCTCCCTCCCGCCCCCAGAGGTTCTGCCTACCCTCGAATTGGTGGCCCCAGCCGGCTATCTCGCAGAGCGCGGCCTCGGGTTCGGCGGGGCGAGCGGCGCTGCTCGGCAGGCAAACGGGCCCCACGGCAGGCGACCGGCGCGCGCAGCGGCCGTCCTGGCTCTCCTGCAGGCGCAGCAACGCTAACCCGGGCGGGGAGGAGCGTGAGGCCCGCACGCCGGCCTGCGAGCCCTCCTCCCAATTCCCCGGTCCCCGCGGGGCGCCCCCACGCACCCAGGTCGTGCTGGTAGGTGACGGGCGAGAAGTCCTCGTGCAGGTGGTAGGCGCGCACGGCCAGGACCTGGCACTGCGCACAGCTCTGGTTGTGGCGGTCCTGGCCCAGCACCACAGTCAGCTCCTCCGGCGCCGGCCTGCGGGCAGGGTGGGAAGAGGATGCAGGTTCAGAGCCGGACACCGGCGGCCAGGAGGAGCCCCCTGCCCGGGAGCCCCTTCCTGGGTCTCAGCTTCCTCCAGGGGAACTGTAGGGAGGGGGGGCGGGGGAAGAGAGGGCATGGGTTCGAGTGTCTTGCGGGCCTGAGCCAACGCCGGGCAGGCGGTACTGGCCGGTTCTGCAGGCAGTGAGCTGCGGTCAGCACCCAGCAAGGGGCGATGAGGCTGCCGGCGCAGAAACTGTGGCCCCAGTACAGCGCGGCGATGTAGGGGTGCGCGCCGGGCAGCGCCACTAGTCCCCCGACGACGCGTTTCAGGGAGGACAGCCGTTTCCTGAGCCTCTGTCCGCAGGTGTCCGGGCCGGTTCCGCCCTTGGGGGGGCTCCCAGGCATCTGTTCCCAGAGCACGGGGGGCAGACCCGGCATCTCGTCCCAGGACAGCCCCGGCATCGCGCCCCAAGACAGCTCCGGCATCGCGTCCAAGGCTGTGGAGGAGCCCGGGTTGAGGACAGGGAAACCCACGAGTGGCTGTAACGTAGCTCGCCCCGTGCGCTCTCTGTTTGGTCTTCCTGCCCCTTCCCAGTTACCTGGGGTCTGGGTCGTGACCTGAGGCTCTGGCCTTGTTGAACGCGAGGGTAGGGGGGGCTCCAGGCGCCCAAGGGGTCCCCGTGTTGTAGGCCGTGCCTGGGGCGCTGCTAGGGTTGGGGCTTGGCATCGTGCTAGGTCGCAATATTCCCAGCTCAGCCGGTTGCCGCTCCACACGAAACACCAGGGCTGGGTGTCATTGTCTGGGTTCCTGTCACCACGGGAGAGGGCCCTATTAGAGCTTGGGGAGCCCCAAAGGGCCCTGGAGAGGAGGGGGACGCCCTGCCCTGCCCGACGCGGTACCGGCAGAAGGCATGGTGGCCCAGTCCCCAATTCAGTGCTTGCTCTGCAGTCAGGTTCTGGTAAGTGGTCTCCGACGACCAAGGCTGACACCGCGCGCCTGAGATCGTGGTCCCAGCAGCGCCTCGGTAGCCGAACCCAAGGCCCTCGTAGCAGCTGGCCTCTTTGTCTGGGGAGAGAGGAGGCTCCCTGCAGCCCGGGCTGGTGTGGTCCCCCTCCCCTCCCCGCCCCTCCCATCCCCTCTCTTCCCCTCCCCTCCCCTCCCTTTCTCTCCTCTCCGCTCCCCGTCCCTCCCCTCCTGTCTCGGTCTCTCCCCCTCCCCCTCTCCCCTCCCTGTCGGCGAGCCCTCCCCATGTGGAGGCGGGCCTTCTGCCTCCAGCTGGACCGGACTCACCCACGTCGCAGAAGCGTCCCGCGTAGCCCTCGGGACAACTGCACAGACGGTGACCCTCCGCCTCGAGGCAGCGGCCGCCGTGGAGGCATGGGTTGTTGCTGCAGACTGAGAGGAGGAGGCCTTGAGCCACCTCTGGGCCCCAAGATCCCACAGAGAGCTCTCCCCCTTCCGGAGGCACACCACCTGACCTTCCGCCAGCTTCTCCTCCCTCCTCCCGGCCAGCTCCCGACCATTCACTCACCCCGGCTGGCCAGGGGCTTGCAGTGGGCTTGGGGGCCTTGGCACTGGCACTCGGCCATGCCTGCCGGCTCAAGCCTATGCCATGTTTCATTCTCGTGGAAGAACTGGAGAAGCTGGGGCTCGAAGCACTTCTCTGGGGACAAAGTGGTGTTCTGGTCTCAGACAGACTGGGGCCATGCCAGTCTCTGAGGGTCCTGGGACCTCTTCAGGCAGGGCTGCTCCTGTTCCCCAGCCCCGCCCACCCCACCCCAGCATCCCTTACCTCTCTGGCAGTGCTTCCCCGTGAAGTGTTCTGGACAGATGCAGCGAGGGCCGTCTGGCATGTTCACACAGGTGCCGCCCCGCTGGCAGGGGTTGTGTGTGCTGCAGTGGTCTGAGAGATGGGCACAGTGGGAGGAAGAGGGGAGCCTGAGTCAGACCATAGGAGCCAAGTCCATGCCTGAACCTGCGTGTCTTGTCTTTTGGCCTTGTTTTCAGGCCTTCGTTTACCCCCATGCAAAATGGGGCTACCCCCTCCCAGAACTTCTCCCTCTGGAGGGAGGGCCCAGAATCCCAGGTGTGTAGGGTCTGATGAGACTCAGAAAATAACGAGGGGGGAGGGGAGGGCCTGGGGCCACCCCAGAGGCTGTGTGTGGCACCTTGCACTTTCTGGGGCTTCTGGCAGTATGCCCATCGTTGGTCCTGGTCAAAGTTGGGGGTAGTAGCACACCTGGAGAAAGAGATAAGGCTCCCTGCTCTGCCCAGGCCCACCCTCCCTATCACAGCCCCTCTCTCCAAGCAGGGTTCCATGGGTAGATGCAGGGCAGAGGCCATCTCCCCAGGGCCCTGCCCCAACCCCTTCTGGGTCATCTTACCAGGGCCGGAAGCCAATTCGGCCCCTGCGGGTGCACTGGTGATACAGCTGCCGGCGGTACTGGAAAGGGAAGTAGCAGGGCTCCCCAGTGACAGTGAGAACTGCAGAGAGAACACACGCTCTAATGACATTCCCTGTGCCAATCTCCCAGGCACCATGCTCAGGGTCTAGTTGGAAAGAACAGACCCTCAAAAAGATCTCTGTGCTGCCTGTCCCTCTGGTGTGGCTCAGTTGAGCATAGACCCAGGAACCAGGAGGTCACGGTTAGATTCCTGGTCAGGGCACATGCCCGGATTACAGGCTCAATCCCCAGCAGAGGGCCTGCAGGAGGCAGCCAACCAATGATTCTCTCCCATTATCGATGTTTCTCTCTCTCTCCCCCTCTCCCTTCCTCTTTCTGAAATCTTTCAAAAAAAGAAAATACATTGCTGTGCCTTCAAGCATCCTGCTTAAGAAGTTGGGTCCAAGAGTTAGACAGCTGGAGTGGTCTCAGACTCCAGCAGCTACTAGGTGTATGACTTTGTGCAAGTCTGCAGCCCCCCCCACCCCTGCTCGCACGTGCACACGCGTTAGAAGAGTGCTTGCCACAAAGGAAGGGCTTTATCAATGCTTGTTGAATGTTGAAGTCACTTGACCACTCTGAGCCTCAGTTTCCTCATCTGTAAAATGGCAATAATAATGGTGCAGTCAAAGCGTTTTCGTTTTGCAAGATGAAGAGTTCTGGAGACAGGTGGTGCTGATGGTTGCACAATATGAATGTACTTAATACCACTGAATTGTACACTTAAAAATGGTCAAGATAGTAAATTTTATGTTATGTGTATTTTACAATTTAAATGATGATGTAGATATATTAGTACAGAAAGGTGTTCATAATTTTGTGTATTTATTTTTATTATTTTTTAATATATCTTTATTGATTTCAGAGAGGAAGGGAAAGGGAGAGATATAAACATCAATGATGAGAGAGAATCATTGATTGTCATGCTCTCCACTGGGGATCGAGCCCACAACCCCGGGCATGTGTCCTGACCAAGAATCGAACCATGACCTCCTGAGCCACTCCGGTCAGGCATTTTTATTATATTTTTAAATCCTTATCCGAGGACATGCTTAGAGAGAGAAAGAGAGAGAGAGAGAGAGAGAGAGAGAGAGAGAGGGAGAGAGAGAGAGAGACATTGATGTGAGAGAGAAATATCAATCAGTTGCCTTCCATATGCTTCCCAACCAGGTATGTGCCCTGGCCAGGAATCAAAACGGCAACTTTTTGGTACATGGGATGACACTCAACCAACTGAGCCACTTCATCTGGGAGGGTGTTCTTATTTAAATGAAGAATACCAAGTTACAAACAGCATGTTGGTATGGTTTTATCTTTGTACAAATACATTTATGGGTAAAAAAAAATCTAGAAGGACATTCTCAAAATTTGCAAGAGTGGTTTTTGGAAGAGTGTGGCTTATGATGGACTTTTTTCTTCTTTTGTATTTTTGTACTTTCTGAAGTTTTGACAATAAAAATATATTGCTATTATAATTTCTAAAAATAGTATAGCCAAGCCTCATCATTCACAGATTCTGTATTTGCAAATCTGCCTTCTTGCTAAAATTTATCTGTAAACCCCAAATCAGTTCTCAAGGGGCTTTCACAGTCATGCACAGACATGCACAGAGTGGTGAAAATTTGAATTATTGGAAGCCAGAAGTGCACATTCCCACATGAGTTCAACCCAGGTGTGACACTGCTTCTTGCTTCAACTCTCCTGTTGTAAGCAAGTGTCCTTTTCATAGTTGATTTAGTGCCACATTTTTCACATTTTGTTGTTGAACATGGCCCCCATAGTGCTGAAGTGCTGCATTCCAGTGTGCACGTGGGCTGGGCTGTGTCTCATGGAGAATACATGTATCTTAGATAAGTTTCATCCAGGCATGAGTTACTGCCATTGGCTGTGGGTTCAATGTTAATGAATCAACAATACACATTAAGCCAGGCGTCTTTAAACAGAATCCCACATAAAACAAGGTTTATATATTGACATTTGATGAAAACTTTGTGACCAGAGGCACACAGGAACCCAACTCTATATTTCCTCTAGGAGCAATGGTTCAGTATTTGTGAATTCAGTGTTCACGCTGACTAACAAAACAAAACAAGAACTGACTGTATCTATTTTAGAGGAACACCGTGAAGTTTAAATGAGCTAGTGCCTGTAAAACACTTAGCACATCCTGGCATATAGTACCTGCTCAATAAGCATTCGCTGTTATTTTGTTGTTAAAGGCACAGTGGCACTTGCTGAAAACCAAACCAGTGTCAGGACAGTAAAAGAAGAGAGAAGGGTCTGAGATGGACTTTTAAGAGGCAAATGGGATGAACAGAGAGGAGGAGCATCCTAAGTAGGTGATGAGGCAAAGGCAGATCACCTAGTTGGACTAGGCAAGTTTGGATGTCTGTGGAGTGATGAGGAAAGGAGGCTGAGGCAGACAGGGTTGTATGAGCTAGTCCTCAGTGCCATGCTAAGGGGCTAGGCCTGACCCCACAGGCCAGGCTCACCAGGGCAGGGGCCATCAGTTCACAACTCCAGGTGAATATGTAGTGCCTGGAAGAATGGAGGCAATGGGGAGCTCTGGTTGGGTTTGAGGAGGGGGGAGATGGCAGACATCCCCACCTAAAAGAGAGCTTAATTAGAAAAGCTAGTATATTTTAAGCATTGACCATGCACCTGGCCGTGAGCTGAGTACTTTCCCGTGGATTTATGACTCGTTTCTCCTTCCCAAGACCCCTAAGGTGTTTCCTATAACCAGCCTGGTTTTACAGGTGGGGGAACTGAAGTTTGGAGAGGTCAAGTCACTTGCTCAGAGGCATTTGGGTCCCAGACGCCTGCTCTTGATCCTTCCTCGCCTATCAAGGCCTCTGGCCTCTGTGTGGCATGGCTGATGCCTATGAGATGTATCGAGGAAAGGAAAAGAATGAAGGAGCATGGGGAAACAGAAAACTGGCAGGTGCTGGACTGGGCACTCAGAAACAGCCTACACTCAAGGAGCAGACAGCTACTAGCATTCTGGGCCCCTAGAGCCCATCAGCATAGACTTGGCACACAGCAGGCACTCAGGTCTGAATGCCAGCCAGGTGACTCTGGGGACAAGAGTAACAGCTGTGCCCAGGATCCTGCCTCTGGTTCCAAGGGCCTGAGACAGACCCAATCACACTCATTCCCACCCAAGGGTCTTTTCGGAGGCAGACCCAGGCTACTTACCCACTGTGTGTTCCTCTTCTACCGGCTTAGGCACCTTGAGGTCTTTCCAAGGTGGGGTCTACAGGAGGAGAGAAGAGGACAGGGAATTTGCCCTGGAAGTCATAGCCTGCCCCTGATCCCATGCTAGTCCCCAGCTTCTTCTCACAGCCCAGAGAAACAGAGCTTCCCTCACAAGACCCAGGCCCCTTCTCCTCCTCCCTCCTCAGGGACCCTCTCCTCCAGAAACGCAGATCACCCCCTCATATCCACAGGCTCTGGTGTCTCTCCCCTCCTCCTGGGCCTTCTGGGCTGACCTCACCTTTCCACACTGGCCTTCGGTCACCTGGACCAAGAGGTCACAGGCAGAGGCCATGCTTGTGACAGGGACCCCCAGGGCCACCCAGCACAGTCCTCCTGGTTCCCACAGCCCTCACCGGAAGCGCTGATTCCAGGCTCACCACCAGGGACCCCAGGAGCAGCAGAGCCCTCATGGCGTCTGTCCGTCGGTCCACCTGCCTACGCAGGAGTCCAGATCAATAGAGTTGGCCAAAGGTCTCTGAGGCCTGGGAAGTGGAGATACATTGAGCTGCCTGGTGGGGCACAGGCTGTTTGTGGAAAGCCAAAGGCAGGAAGTTGGCAGTTGGGGGGTTGGGGTAGAACAACAAAGACCTGGGTTCCTTCTCTCTTTCCCAGATAGTGGGACTGGAAGCAGGAAGAGAGACTTCTTGTGTTCTGGGGATGAAGAGGTTAAGGAGACCCGAGACAAGGTCCCTACTATCGGGATTGCACAGTCCATTGGGAAGTGTATTCATCTTCTATTGCTGCCTAAATGGAACCATAAACTTCACAACTTAAAACAATAGCCATCTATTAGTTCACAAATTTGTAGGCTGACAGTCCAGCAAGATGCAACTAGTTTTTCTGCTCAGGGTCTCACAAAAGTGACACCAAGGCTGAGTTCTCTGGAGGCAAACCCACTCCCATGCTATTCACATTGTTGGCAGAATTCAGTTCCTTGCATTTGTAGGACTGAGGTCACTGTTTCTTTGCAGGCTGTAAGCCAGGGCCCACCCTTAGCTCCTAGAAGCTGCCTGAAATTCTGACCACATGGCCCTCTCCCACTTCCCAAGCCAGCAGCAAAGGCTCCCTGGTGTTGACTTTCGTGAGTTGAATCTCCTTTACCAGGAAGAATGCTGTTCCTCCTAAGGGCTCACCTGGTTAGTATAATATCCCTATCTTAAAGTCAACTGATTTGGGACCTTAGTTACATTTGCAGCATTCTTCCACAGAAGCATCTAGATTAGGGTTTGATTGAATAACTGGGAGAAGGTAAGCATATACCTTGGGGGCCATCTTAGAATTCTACCAACCACAGAAATTGGAGCAATTGAGCACAAAGGAGGGAGATGGGTGGACATATGTTGTTTTTCCTGTCTTGGCTCACTATGGCACCCTGATTTATATTATTTTATTTGGGGGGAACCACTCCTCCTTTATTCTCTCATGGGTCCCCAGTGCTGCCAACTCTACTATCCATTCTAGGGCTGGGGGTGTGGCCTCTGTCTGACCAATAAGAACAGGGTATCTGTGGACCTCAGTGATTGGTTCAGGAAGAAGCATAGACACAAGCTTGTCCCGTCAGAGTCAACCTTGGGACTTTCTCACCAAAACTTTTGGGAAAGGGGCACTTTCTTCCCACTAGAGTCCCTAAGAATGGGAGCCTGGAGATGTTGATGGCCACCTTTGTCTGTTTGGGGAAGGCCTGCCTGAGAATGAAGCCTACACATAGTTGAAAAGCAGAGCAAACCGAGAAGGAATGAGCAGGTGCAATGTGGGAGGCGTCTCCAAGACGGTCCTCAGTGATCACCTCCTGAAATCCATGCCCTTGTGCATAATCTTTTCCCACAGTGAGCCAGAGCTGTTCTGTGGGTCCAGTAGAATATGGCAGAAGTGATGGTGTTTGACTTCCAAGCCCAGGTCATAAAAGGCATTGACGTTTCCGCCGTGGTCTCTTGGATCATTCACTCTAGGGGAAGCCAGTTGCCTGCTTGGAGGACAGTCAAGCGGCCCTAGGGAGAGGCATGTGTGGGGAGAAAGTACCAATTTGACCGCCCTGTGAAGGGGCTGTGCTGTAAGTGGATACTGCAGCCCCAGTCAACTATCGCCTGCAGCCTCATGAGTGACCTCAAGCCAGAACCATCCAGTTAAGCTGCAGCTAAAATTTACATTTGTTAAGGTATAATTAACATCCCTCATAAAAAGAAGATGCACTCTCCACCATAAAAACCCTTAGCTTTTCTTCCCCCAAAGAAAAGATGCCCAGGCTCAAAAATACTTCTTCCTTGCCCTAGCTGGTTTGGCTTAGTGCAGCTGTGGGCAAACTACGGCCCGAGGGCCGGATCCAGCCCGTTTGAAATGAATAAAACTAAAAAAAAAAAAAAAAAGACCGTACCCTTTTATGTAATGATGTTTACTTTGAATTTATATTAGTTCACACAAACACTCCATCCATGCTTTTGTTCCGGCCCTCCGGTCCAGTTTAAGAACCCATTGTGGCCCTCGAGTCAAAAAGTTTGCCCACCCCTGGCTTAGTGGATGGAACGTCAGCCTATCCACTGAAGGGTCCCAGGTTCGACTCCAGTCAAGGGCACATGCCTGGGTTGTGGGCTTGGTCCCCAGTAGGGGGCGTGCAAGAGGCAGCCATTCAATGATTCTCTCTCATCATTGATGTTTCTATCTCCCTCTCCCTTCTTCTCTGAATTCAATTTAAAAAAAATATTTTTTAAAGGAGCTTAGTACCTATGTTTAAAAATTTTTTTCTTTTCTTTCACTGATAGCTCCCTTGCCCCAGCCTCTTTCCTATAAAATTCTTCTATGTTGTACAACCCCATTGGAGCATACTTCTAGTTGCTAGATGGGATGCCGCTCAATTCATAAATTGCTTAATAAAGCTAATTAGATCTTCAAGTTAATTCTATCAAATTTTGTTTTTTGTTTTTAAAAAATGTTTCTCTCTCATCGATGTTTCTAACTCTCTATCCCTCTCCCTTCCTCTCTGTAAAAAATCAATAAAATATATTTAAAAAAAAAAAAAATTCTTCTATGTTGTACAACCCCATTGGAGCATACTTCTAGTTGCTAGATGGGATGCTGCTCAATTCATAAATTGCTTAATAAAGCTAATTAGATCTTCAAGTTAATTCTATCAAATTTTGTTTTTTGTTTTTAAAAAATAGACCTAAACTTGGCCAGTGGGTGCTGCTGTCTCCAAGGACTCTGAATCCTGAGGAGGCCACATGGGATGATGAGAAGAGTTGCGGGTCTAGCACTGTACCGCCTGTGCCCTGGCCAGACTGTCCCTGCTACAAGGCCTGTCAGGATGCCTTTGAAAAACCAGCTTAGGAAGCAGTGAGGACATTCACATTCCTCATTTCACATCACACGAGATCTGAGGAGAGAGGCCCCAGGAACACTGCTTTCAGTGGCTTCACAGTGTCATATAGAACCCAAGACCTATCTTTCCTTCTTTCCTTCTTCCTTCCCTTCCTTCCTTCCTCCCTTCCTTCCTTCCTTCTTTCCTTCCTTCCTTTCTTCCTTCCTTCCTACCTTTCTTCTTCTTTTTGTTAATCCTCACCCAAGGATTTTCCCCCCACTGATTTTCCCCCCACTGATTTTTAGAAAGAGTAGAAGGAAGTGGGGGAGGGGAGGAGGAAAACATTGATGTGAGAGGGACACATCGATTGGTTGCCTCCCTCACATGCCCTGACCTGGGCTGGGGATTGAACCTGCAGCCCAGGTACAAGCCCTTGACCCAGAATCCAACCCTCGACCCTTTCAGTGCATGGGCGGATGCTCTAACCACTGAGCAACAACAGCCAGGGCTCTTCTTTTTTTCTTTTCTATGGCGGTTGGTGTACAGAAACCATGTAAACTCCAGTAAGAAGAAACTTCCCTTCCAGTAAGTCCTGAGAAAATGAGGAAACCTTCCTCACAAAAATGCCAAGCAGGCCTCCCCTCATGGCTCATTGGCCAGAACTGGGCCACCTGACACCCCTAAATCAATCTCTGGTAAGGGTAGGAGGTCTTTGTAATTGGCTTAAACCAGGCGTTTCCACCTTTTTCATCTCATGGTGCACATACACTAATCACTAATGTTCTCTGGCACACCAAAAAATATATTTGTTGCCAATGTGACAAAAAAACAACAGGTATAATTTAATTCATTCACACCAGATAGCTATTGTGCTGGCTGTTGACTTTTTTTTTTTTTTTGACAATCTAGGGAAGAGGTCAGTGCCCTGTAAACAGTCAGGTATTGCATGCTTTAAAAATTCTTGCAGCACACAGGTTGCAAATCGCTGACTTTAGTTAAACATGACTATGTCATGAAGCCTCCACAAAAACCCCAAAGGACAGCTCACTGGCCCTTTTTAGAAGAGCTGCCATGTGGTGGAACCCGCTCCATGCAGACAGACACTCCTTGTTCCGGACTTCAGCCTCCGTCTCCCTTCACCTGGCTGGTGATTTGTGCCCTCTGATATCCTTTGTAATGAATTGGTAATCTAGTGAGTAAGGGAGTGTTCCTGAGTCCTGTGAGCCATTCTAGCAAATGAGTCAAACCTAAGGAGAGGAACCTCTGATTTATTTATAGCCCGTTGGTCGGAAGCACAGATAATAGTCTGGACCGTGACTATTTTACCTGTGGAACCTGGTATCTGGGGAAGCCTCCCTGCACACACATTGGAATTGAGTCCAGGGGCCCTGTTAGCGCTCAGTGTTCCTTCCCCTCCTCCCCAATGTGGATACAACAAAAGACCGAAAGACCGTCCCATCCTCAGCTGGGGGGTGGAGTGGGCACGTGACACAGGCCTAACCAATCAGAACACTGCCTCTCTCTGTCCTCAGAGATTGGTTCCAAATGAACACCTGACTCAAAGCAAACCACTGAGAGGCAAGCCCTGGGTTTTTGCTGGAATCATCAAGATAGAGGCTTTTTGTTTTTGTAGAAGTTGCCACATCTGTGAGAAGTGAGCTTGGCGCTGCTGGCAGCCATTTTTCACACCTCAGAGGGAAACCTGGCCGACAGTACAGACAGCACAGGTTAAGGATTAAAGAACACAGACAAGAGAATACAGCTGGGGCTCGGTGGGACGTTGGTTCTATGATGGAGAGACAGTGCCACAGCCTGCAAGCCGCAGCTTTATTTTATAGTCAGAGCACACAAAGCAAAACAAGGGTAGTGGTCAACATGTTTGCAATGTTCTTGTGAGTTTCACCTTATTTTGGCAGCACTTGCTGCACCTCCCACAGCCCATTAGCTACCTAGGAAGGAGCAAGGGAGGACTATAAGGTCAAGCTTAATTATGCTAAGAGGGCTCTGCCCTCCAAGCTGGGACTTGTTTGTGCCCCTGCCACAGGTCAGTCTGAGGCTTAACCCTATAGCCACTCCCTACAGTTGTACACCAAATATTACCAATAATATTCTCCTTCC